GTAAATAAACTTTCTCTTTCACACTACATCATTTGGACAAACTTTCATAATTTTTTTGTGGTTAGTAGTTAATTATAACGTTGTAATTTTAATTGAATATGCAGATATTGCATTTTTAAGTATAAAACTAATTATAACTACTGCGCTGTATTTTTTGCCGTGAGTGAGTGAGTGAATATTAACGTCGCACTGTTCAGCTACACGAGGGGTTTTGGAGACGGACCATGTAATTTTGAACAATGGTCAAGTGACGGGAACGACACTTGAGCTGGCACCCCCTTGTCCTAACTACCACACCACACCAACTTAGCAGGAATATTCCACCAATACTTAGCTTTAATATTCTTTGAAATCCACTCTTCCAAGATATATGGCAGCACGGGTTCTATGATGAGTATTTTAGTGGGTAAGGCGAAAAGTTTTGTAGCAGATATTGCGTTTTCAGCGGATTGCAAAGATTATTATTTTTGTCGCAAAAAAATAGTTAATGTCAAAATTTAAGTGTCTGAGGGTTTTGTCTGTTAATGAAGACCTTGGAAAATGATTTGACTACTTATTTTAAGTGAACGTTGTACATAATTAATTTTACAGTGGAATATCTTTAATTAATTTATTAGCTCTAACGGATTAAATTTTCCAAAGTGGAGTATTTCGTTTATGTATATTTCTTAATTTGTACATGTAGTGATCTAAAAAAAATTGTATGAAAAAAACTGCAGTAAATCATAATGTGGTTGGATAAAGTATTAACGTGCATCGCTCCCCTACACGGCGGGTCTTACAAAGCTCTAATAAAGCTGGAGCTACGAAAGTAGCTAGGCATTTGCCAACTTGCCTCTATCGTTAACATTTTGCTATGTTTTTCATTGAATCGCCATTATAATTTAAGAAACGGCGTTGCTTGCGAATATTACAATTTTAAAATAAAATGAATACAACAGAAAGTAGTATTAATGTATTACACTTTCAGATATAAATTATTTACACTACTTTAAGCGTTCATTGCGCAAAACTTTTAAGAATGTGTTACTTTTGCTGAGCAGAGATCAGCTTAGGGAGGTATTTTGAAAATCGACCCTCAAGAGTGTTAGGAGGAATTATAAATTTAAAAAATCCTTTTTATCGGCTATTAGATCTACATAGTTAAAATTTAACAAAGGTGTTTTTCTTTCTTTTTTTTTTGTTTAGCTGAGATATGCAAAATACTTTTTTTTTTGTTTAATTTTCAATTCACATAAAATTAACTCATTAAAAACTTTTCCTTCAATCTGTGTTGTTTAATTTTTTTCAGGTCATTCATCTATCTATCTATCTATGTGTTATATATATATATATATATATATATATATATATATATATATATATATATATATATATATATATATAGATATATATAGATATTTAGATAGAGATATCATATATATATATATATATATATATATATATAAATATGCACTTAGAACCTCTAACAATCTTCTATTGGATGCATTTTTGAATGATTCAAATGTAAAATAAAATTAATGGTCGGATAAATACTTAAATTGGGGTATCATAAACATATATCTAATAGAAATGAATTGAACATAAATAAAAAGTTGAATAGAAAGTTTCTAATTCTTTGAAAAGCAAATACCAGCCAGTATAGAAAAATGATTAATTTAAGTGGAAGTAATCTACTGAATGAAACATAAATATAAATTTCTCAAAAACAATTTATTTTACTACTTAAGTACTTCTTTCTTATGAGTATTCATAAATGTCATTTGTAAAGAATAAAATTATACCGAATAACATTTATTTAAAGATAGTAAACAACGTTTCTTAGATATTTCTTATATCAGCATCATAAAACTTCTAAACAAGCTTCGTTTTTTATATTTCCAAAGAAATTACATAACTCTAAAATTTAGTTAATGGAGCAGTGCTTAGTTTAAACAACTTATGAACGTTACAAATCTTAAATGAATGTTATAAACATCTTATTTTGTTATGTGTTGTACTTCACAAGCATTTTTCTACTAAAATATTTTACATTGTGAATTTTTAAGATAGTAAATAAGTTACATGCCTTATATCATGCTGTGTAATTAATTTATTATAGTTATCTCAATGGGAAGCATCATAAATAAATTAATGCCTCTAAACCATATATTTTTAAGTATTCGCAACAATATTTAAAATAATATTTGATTCATAAGCTTTCGTTTGAAGTAAAATTATATATACTTAACTCTCTCTCCGTCATATTATAATAACATCGTTGATGTTATTGGTGTTTGGAGGTTCGAATAAAGATCAGCCATAACCAGTTCAAATTCCAATTTATTACATCTCTAACTTAAATCGTACAACTCATGGTAGGAAATGTGCAATAATACTAATTATAAGAGCAATCACACGGCAAAAAGGATACTTAATATTTAAGTTATAATCTAATTCGCTTACTCTTAGATGGACTTCTATGGCCTAATTCACTGTAATTCTGTTATTTGTTGTACGATCTCCGGTCGTTGTCCTTAAATCCTATCTTACAACTTAATTGCCTATTAGCAATAATTGTGATCATCTAAAAACTACACGTCGATTAACTCTCGAATGGCTCTCAGCTACTCTCAACAAACTTAGCGTATGTAAAAGTCAATGTTTAAATAGAACCACTCATTTGCAGGAATCAAGGTCTTCTTCTTCGGGAGAAAGTTTTCAGTAGAACAACAGTTAAAAAGAAATAAATTTACCCCAAGAGGATTAGTTACAGGTTTGCGGATAGACCCGGTACAAAATAATTGGTAGAGAGAGTTACAATAGAATTTACTTGAGTGTATACAGGGGGATGATGATTAAAAAGTTACACTTTCAAAATGCTTTAAAAATAGAACCACTGCTCAGAAGGACTTCAAATTTGAGCTGAATATACTTGAAGAAGGGGAAACGGTATGGCATAAACAATTAATTAGCTTTTGAAGTAATTCGATAGTATTTTGCACTAACAGTGTAACAATTATAGAATGACTTTGAAGCCAATTTTCCGTCAAAAAGCCGGAAAAGATCATGCACATAGAAAAATAACTTGTTTATTATGCATCTCGTACCAAACCATCGTAATTCGATTCAAAATATCACTCATAGCAGAATCCACTTTCGTTTTGTAAATTGCAGTGCTATCTAGTGATATATTTTAGAATTTCTTTTCTAATGCTATACCTTTTTCCTACTTTTCATGTATATTCAGATCAAATTTGAAGTCATTACGACTAGCGGTTCTTTTCTTACTGTATTTGAAAGTGAAACTTTAATTATAATCACTTTGCACTATGCACACATCCCTTTAATTTAACGTATCTCTATGTAAATGATTCATTATTTTAAGACAAATTAATATATGATTTTTTGTAAAAAATATTTAGAAAGTCAAGGATATGATTAAATATTTTTAATATATTGTTTACTAAGTAACGAGATATATATAAAGATGGTTTATATCCACAGTATTATATTCCACCTTTTTATTGCTATGGTATTCTAAACTGCCATGAGAACTTTCAAAACAATTTTTTCTCTTAAAATTAATAATTCTAATTTAAACATTTAAACATCTTTTTTTTCGTAAAAATAATAAAAAAATTAAGAATAACTAATGATTATAAATAAAACCAACTTTCTTTTAATAAAAAAAAAACTCATTTACTTATTTTATAATATAAAGTGTTTGTATTCTACACACACCTACTAAACAATGTTAGCTTAAAATGAATTTATAGAAAACTAAATTTTGTCAAGAAAACTAAAAAAAATGAACTCGATTACATAATGGATAGTAGTTTGCTAACGTTTTGTCTGAAACTCTTCCGCTGTACAAAATTCGAGACGTAGTTTTTAAGCAAAATGAGATCATAACCGACAAAATGGAGGAACCAGTGCCTGTTACAAAGTCGCCGATAAAACGCTCATCATAAATCAAATGGCTTCTCCAATCTTTTGTCCCCATGGACTGTTTTGAGAAAGTTATGAAATTTAAAATTCACGATGTATGAGAGCACCGAGTCATTTCCAACGGCAATAGATAGAAATTAAATGAATTATTGAAGAAAAAGATGACCCAACCATTAAATCTTAACCGTAAAAACTGATGATGATGATGATGAATGACAGTCATTTTGTCCTTCATGTCCCCAGGTATAAATGGTGGTCTTAATGTTCGTAGATGAATGTCTTATAGGGTAGCGGAGATAGAGACATAAATTAAACACGTCTTAAGCAAGGAAAATGATAGTTACACATAAATGGAACTATAGCCTTTTTAAACATTATGTGTCCCACCTTAGAAACAATTAGATACGATGTTATTGTGTTCGTTTCTATGAAATGTAGATTCAATTGGGTTATTGAAAGAAGGTTTAAAACTTGTATGTTTTTTTTTCTTTCGCACACATTTAAGTAAAGGTAACTTACCGAGTTATATGTACAAAAGAAGTGAACTAAATTCTGTGAATATTAAACATATTTTAAACATATGTACTAATTTCAATAGTATTTTTGAGAGGATTGTAATTTTTTGAAGATTATAACCAATTATAGTAACCTTTTGAAATTCCAGAAAAAAGCACAGAATATTTTGAAATGATTTCATAGTTTTGTTATAGAAAATATCATTTACAGAAACAAAATACAAAACTTTAAATAATAACGCAGTATCCAATATTGCTTCTCTCTTCATTACAAATTATTAGTTTATTTGTATTTAATCAGAACGAAATCCACGAAAAATCAATTCCTGTTTGGAACACACAAACATAAGTCACAGTTAATGCATCTTACACTTAATAAAATACATTCTATTCATCCATTCAAGTTCAAATACATTTTTTTAAACTTGTAGGAGATGACACTTGATGTTAATACAGTTTTTTTCAAACATTAATTCATTAATTAAATTCAAAACTGAATAAATAGTAACAAAAATAATAATCCAACAGCATATATAGAAGGGAAAATCGTTCGTTATGCCCTGCAGCGCAATGAATAGCGCGCGCGTTGGACTTCTAATCCTAAGGACGTAGATTTGAATCCTACCTGGGATGGCCTAATTTCTGAGAATGTGATTTCTTTTTTACTATACGATTTTATTAAAATACTTAAATTTAATTAATGAATAAATATTAAAAAACAAGCAAAAAATAGTCCAACATCATATTCTTGTAGACTCATTCGAATCCGGCACTCATGGGCAGTGATTTTCACGTTTTTGTTTCGGTCAAAGGATGAAATAACTCAGTCCTACTCAAAATAATTCACTTCCTACACCACGGATGAAGATCCAATGGCACGCGACAGAATATTTTGGGCACGCCACCGATCAAAACGGTTTGCATTTTAGTTCAAAATAACAATGTTCCCTATGAAGTATTACGAACAAACGCTAGTGATCAGTTGCGGGGTGGCAGGGAGTACACTCGTTTGTTATTGCCTTGCCTAAGTTGTATTGTAGACATCCTATTGCTAATGATGCAAAGCTTGTCTACGTATCGCATAGTCAATTTCGTTGATACAAATGTATTTTAAAATTTATTTATGTTATATTTATGATTTATGTGTTATATTTCCGTATAATCAAGTCTTCAATCAAGGAATTTTCAGCACAATTTTCTCAGTTTCATGAATTCTCGGAAACCTTTAAGTTCATTTTGTACCTTGATGTGACTTCATTTGATAAACTGAACTAGTCGCAATTCAACTGATTGATTTCCAGTCTAGTTCAATATGAATTAAAGTAATTTATCGAAACAAGGAAAAAGTCGGAGTTGATTGAAACAGAAAGATTAACAAGATATATAAATAAAAATGTCAATAACGAAATTTTCTAAACATGGAATTTGATTAACTGTTTGAAGATATGATATTTTAACCATGTTTTCTACTTCCTATGCCTGGGGGGCATTATTGTTAAAGATGAATAACATAAAAAACTCGCTTAGAAACTACTTTAACAAATGACTTCAATTCAGCATGCATTCTTCTAAAAGTAACATCTTACAATCTTAATATAAGTTGTCATTTAATCTGCAGCAACAGAAATCACACTAATGAAACTTTAATTTGAATTACACGTATAACTAAAACATTTACAACTATGCAGTGCAAAATGTATTTTTTCTTAGTAAATAGTTTTGAGTCGTTAGTATTTAATCTTAATATTTTTCCAATAATCACAATTCGAAACTATCTGACGGCACGTCTATACTTCATCAAACATTTCCTTAGAAAAAAAAGGCACTTTGCTGCGTAAAGGTTCGCTACCCCTATTCCACACTCTTCTTTGTAGCTACAGAGTGTTTTTTTCCAGGCATAGAAGTTTAAGTGGGCCTTACTTTCCAAGATGGCGACCGATTCAACAGCTGTCAAGTGATTTATTCTCAGTTTGGTATGGCAATTCATCATGAATAGACTCACGCATGAACAACGCTTTCAAATTGTGCACTTTTATTTCGAAAATAATGGTCGATTTTCATAAGCGAATTTTATTTAGCGATGAAGCGCACTTCTGGTTGAATGGCTACGTCAACAAGCAAAACTGCCGCATTTGGAGTGAAGCTAATCCACAAGTGTATGTCGAAACACCATTACATCCAGAAAAACTGACTGTTTGGTGCGCTTTATGGGCTGGTGGAATCATTGGTCCGTACTTCTTCAAAAACGATGAAGGCCACAACGTTACAGTCAATGGTGATCGGTGTAGAGCCATGATTACTAACTTTTTCATTCCTGAATTAAACAATCATGATGTCCAGGAGCTGTGGTTCCAACAAGACGGCGCAACATGTCACACAGATCGTGCCACAATCGATTTATTGAAAGACGCGTTTGGTGACCGCCTAATTTCACGTTTTGGACCTGTGAATTGGCCTCCAAGATTTTGTGATTTAACACCGCTAGACTATTTTTTGTGGGGCTATATAAAGTCATTGGTCTAAGCGGATAAGCCACAAACGCTTGACCAGTTGGAAGACAACATTCGCCGTGTTATTGCCGATATACGGCCACAAATGTTGGAAAAAGTCATCGAAAATTGGACGTCCAGATGTGACTACATCCGAGCCTGCCGTGGCAGTCCTATGCCAGAAGTCATAATTAAAATGTAATGCCACAAGATTATCATTCGAAAAAAAATTCATGTCAATCGAACAATACATCGTTGTTTTATTGCAATTTAAAGTTCTATACCTCTAAAAAACACCCTTTATAACAGAACTTTATTACTTTAAACTTTTAAAATATACTATTATTATACGCTGATTAAGATAATCAGTAACATGGTAACTCGTAACATGCCGCATACATTCCTTTAATGTCTCTTTATCTCGAGCGAGTGTGGGCGAGTCTGCTCCGAGCGCTTCTGCTTGGAGTAGAGGAATGGAGACTTGATTACATAGAATGGGTTTTTGGAGTACCTGTTTCCATGAGGAAACTTCACCACCTATCTTGAGATTTTTGAGTGAGCTTTGCTTTAGCTTTACCTTAGCCTAGTACTGCGTTAAAATATTAAAAGTTAATGGAGACTGAATGAAAAACTAATGTGAAAAACTCCGTATATAGAGGCAGGGCGGGGCAAGTGTGGGCGTAAACACCTCTACACCTTTATACTCGCGCTTTCACAGTACCTTCTACATTTGAGCTCTAACAATATTTAGATATGAAATAGGATGAAATAGGAAAATTGCAAGGCAAATCGCTTCCTCTCTCTTTTGTCACTTAATAATGTGATTCTGTCATATATATATATATATATATATATATATATATATATATATATATATATATATATATATATATATATATATATATATATATATATATATATATATATATATATATATATATATATATATATATATATATATATAGGCCGTGGGTAGCCTAGTAGTTTGAGCATCGGACTCCAGTCCGGAGGGCCTGGGTTCGATACCCGATGCCACCAAACACCCTCCGAGTACACACGGAGTACGTGCACGTTAAATCAGTGGGTTCGTTGTCTTGTGGGCTTAATCACGAGCGCAGGGACGGGAGAATATTTCCCTCCTCTTCAGTTTACATGCAGAAATTGTGGAGGTGGAGATAGAGATCGTGTCGCCATCTATCGTCCCTTCGGGGAATTTCGCCGAGCTAAATCGTACTGTTACCTGTATGGTGCTCAAGGCCAACGACAGGCGTACCTCTTGTCCATGCCACGATGTATTTCGTGGGCCTCGATCTGACTACGTCAGACAGGTGGCATTAGAAAACAACAACAACATATATATATAAATATATATAACTCTAATAAAAATAACTAAAATAAAATTTTTCATTGTTGACCTAATTAGTTTTATTGACTATTTTCTTTTTAATTTACTTGTTAAAACCTAGTTTGAGGCACTTCATTTGATCAGCCAATTTTACATGTTCAGACAAATTTTCTATTTTTCGAGAGGGAACAATTATTTAAATACATTGTCGATGAGTGCTTTCATTTTAAGTTCCTGAAAAATATTTTCTAATAAACACTAAGAAATTATATGCTTAAACACTGTACTACATATAAGTAAAGCCAGCCTTTCCTATAAATCTCATTTTTCTAACAAATACACAGTAACCATGGATTGCATGTCGTCATTCACTTAGTCACCTTTGTAACAGAGAAATGTGCATAAACATATACCATCAATTTCTTTCTGCGAGTAAATATTTTGTTAAGTGTATTAGAGCAAGCTATTAATTATATTAACAGCTCATATATAAGTATTGTATAATTTAGAAGTCCAGAATAGTGCTTTCAAATTTATATACTAACCTAGATTCAAAGAGAAAAGCAAAACTATTATTATCTTCGCGATTTCAGAGTGACCGGTAGATGAAAGGCTGAATAATAAACTCCATATAATCCAAATACCATCCACTTTGAAATAATTAAGTGACGCTGAATTATGAATAATTCCGTTTAGTTATAATATATATCTATCCATTTCTCACTTCGATTTCTTAAAATTTTAAAATAAACGATGTATTTTGATATGTTTACGTTGTTGTATTATAATACGAGATTTTTTTCAATTCCTACTATTAGTTCATAATTTACCTATGTATATCTTGTTCAAATTTTCAATCGTTAATAAAATACATTTTAAAGAGCTCAATTGAGCTGAAATTTAATATATACGATTATTTTGGATAACAATACGGTAGTTTAATTATAAAATTAATAAAACTTAATTTATTGAAACTAATTTTTCAAAGAATTACCGATACAGTCACATTGGCAACCATTTTGGCAATTTGTGTCAAAACTTTAAAATATTTTTTTCTCTCATTTTAAAGCGCTCATTTGAGTTGAAATTTCTATAGACGATTGTTTTGGATGACTATATACGATAATTGAATTATAATTAATTCAAATTAATTCGCTGAAACTAAATATTTAAGGAATTATAGATACAATCACGTTGGCTTCAGTTTTAGCGACTGGGTTCAAAACTTTAAAATATTTTTTTCTCAAGTTTTAAAGCATTCAGTTGAACTGAAATTTTCTTTATACGATTGTTTTGGGTGACATACGATACTTTACTGATAAATAAGAAAAATTAATTGAGACTTAATATTATGATTATGTCATCTGTATATAGATACTTGTATTATTTCTAATTATTTGATAAAAAGAAACTAAAATAAAATTTTTCTTTTTCTGTCTAAGTAGGAATTGTGGCTCTAATTTTTTTATATTACTTGTTAATTATTAATTACATTACTTAATATAAATTCATTCTATTCTGTCAATTCTCTGTTTCTTTCGGGAAGTCCTAGATTATTTTATTTTTTAGTATATAACGACGTTTTTGTATATATATATATATATTCTCACGAAGAGAGAAATTACCAACATTCAGTTGCACTATTTTTCGAAGAAAATTATTATTAAATACTGCTGTAGTAGTTATGAAAATTAAATTAGAACATGATAATTTTAAATGCAGAATATTTTCTAACTTTTAACAGCCACATATCGAAAAAGCTAATTTTTTAGCAGAAATTTTGAATTTTAGTACTATAC